ATATTATATTCAATTTCTGCAAATTGATATAGAGTAGCTGTAGATAATATACACAAACAACTACCTCCTCAAAATTACACTTAGATTTTTTTGAATTCCTAATTTCTACACATAAGATTTTTTCACCAGCTACAGCTACTTTTTTCCTTCATCTTGTGAAAGTGCCTGGAGCACTTTCACTCCCATCCTCTCCTGGTTGTATATCCGAGTTATTCTGGTATCATAAGGTCTGTGCTGTCACCTGTTAAAATGAAAGTAACCATACTGCTGGTTGAAACAGCAAAAACACCAGTCTGCTTCCTCTTTCTGCACAGGCCACAGTTTCCTCTGTGGTACAACTTATGCAAGATTTTTATTTTTTTTCCCTCCAGCTTGAATGCATTCAGAGTTATCATGCGCTTGACTTTTCTGAACTGGATGAATGAGCTGCTTGGTATGAACAGAGTCAAGTTAGGACAGATTTTAGCTGCTTATCTTTGAACATAGTATGAAAGTGTGACAGCTAAAATTGAGTTTTAGCAGTCTCTATACACATACATGGCAAAGCAGGTCCTGGGAATATCTTAAAAAATAGTGAAAGGGAAAAATAAAAGCAGAAGTAAGAACAGCATGCTATCCATTTTTTCCATGTGTTGGACAGGAAGCAACGCAACCCTAGACAATTACAAAAGCCAACACTACATCATCCAACTCGATCAGTCGATAACAAAAAAAGCACAAAAGTTATACAGACTGACAGGTAAATTGTTGATTGGACAGTTTTGGCAGTTCCTGTATCATCAGCACCCACGTGGGGCCATCAAATTACAGTGAGTGACAGAAGTTTATGGAGTGCTTTAATGCTTCTGATGTGTATGTTCATGTTATTCAGGTGTCACAAAGAAACTCTTGAAAATATAACTAATTAACTAATTTTGTTTAGATCATACAGTGCAACCTTCAATTACATTAAAGTCATTCAAATCAATCCATGTATATGCTACACAATAAAATATTCAAATAACAAAGCATCTGTAATCTTTTTGGTCTCATGTGTGGAGGGAGTGTCTCTCTCCAGTGTTTGGTGCTTCGATGTAGCCTTGACCTGAGTTAAATGAACTGTCCGTATTCTGCTGAGGGGTTATTTCCGTTATCTCTACATCTTTTGCACAGATTACATTAATTGATTACTCTAATTCCTCTTTTTGTTTGTGGGACTTTTGTTGCACTTGTGGCGTGTTGAGCGTCTCTCACACACACAGCAGTGTGGAGGTAAGAAACAACGAGAGAGTTGACGATGGCTGCACATCGCATGAAAAACGTATCAGTAAAGCTCAACATAGCCAATACAGATGCCTTGATCGGCACCGGTACCAATTGTTGAGATTCGGTACCAGATGCTGACGTCCCCAATTTCAACTATATGGATCAGGTAGTGGTGTTGTTTTCCAAGCTGCTATAGGGAAGGCATTTCCAATCTTCCATACGTAATATGACCTTTTGGTATACGTTATTTGCTTTGTTGCAGAGAGTTAAATGAGAAAATTGATCAAACTGTATCTGTATGTTGAATATGAAACTCAAAATGCAAGCCTGGCTCTGTCCAAAGTGAAAAAATGAAGTGAAAAACCTACCAACACTTCACTGAGTAACAGGTTGTGTCTCATTTGTTTAATCTGCACACAGACAAAAATGTAAGAAACACAATTGGTTGCTAAGCACAGGTTTTTGTTGTTTTTTTTGTTCTTTGTACAGGAACTAATAAAGTCACTTTTTTCACTGGGGCCAAGAGTGTAACATCCATTTTCTGCTTTTTTTTATAAGTAACCTGAGACCAATGGCTATCTAGTGTATAGATGAATGGATGTCTATTTTTGTACAGAGTAAATTAAAAATCAACATTGATCATATAAACTAAGTGAAATGTAATACATTAATAAATACTGCAATATTGCCTTATAATTAGATCAGGTTTCAGTATACATGATGTTTTGTGTACTTGTTTTGTTTTGAACCTTAGGGGCCACCATAACCGCCACAGCTCAAATCATGACCTTTAGTGCTGATTTGCTCTTTAAAAAAGAGCTATACATAGAGCCGTCCTCTGTAGTAAATTATACATTAACGTCCCAGTCTGGAGGCCTTGTTGGGACTTTTCCTTTACAAAGAGTCAGCTGCTGCCACTTAAAGGGAAAATCCATCTTAAAAATATAATTCACATGTCATTCCCATAATATTGTACAGCTCAGTTTATTGCTGGTCTCTCCATAAAGTGGCACAACACTGTAATAATCATGTACACATTCATGGGCAGAAAGTAATTTACTCTAAGTGTTTCTTCTATATTAGATCTGTTCTGTCTGTTATATTAGAACACACATGCTGAGGAACACATATCCCAAAAATGTCCCTGTGCTCAAGTGAACTTTTGTTATTACCGTAATTCAATAAAAGGAACACGCAAGGTCTACTCAGGCTAAGTGAGTATTGATAAATCCAATAAAATGAATCATACAATAGTAAGTATAAGGCCACTATGAATGAACACTGTCCTGCTTCAGACAACTGAAAAGTTCAGACTAGTTGCATTTCCGCATTGAAATAAACAAAGTGAACAGCACATTCAGACCAGGACCAAATACAGAATCTGATGCAACATTGGACACTTTGACGACAGGGAATACAGCACTGAGGGGTTTTTATTTGCCGGTTTTGGCTAACATCATCTGCACAAGCTAACTAGCCAACAGCATCTGAAATTACTGTTGGCCACAGCTTCTTTTAGCAACAAGTCTGCAATCTCTATAAATCATCAACTAGCTTCAGGTTGTATTCACTGGGAGGTTGCTGAGCCCCGTTCAGTTGCATGCTAATGGCAGCTACAGCAGCGGATAGCTGCATTGAGCAAAAGCAGCTAGACAATGTCAGAGGAAAAACCAGACAATATTCTCTCCTTAAAAAATTATCTAGTTTAACCCAAATCACTAATTAAGTTGTGTTTTCATACAACAATTATTGAGGCCCGGTCCCCCTGCAAACACTCTGCTTCGGTGCTAGCTAACTAATAAACATTTGCTCGGTATTGCTAAAAGTTGAAGATTGATTGTCATATTATTGGCTGAAATCGTTTACATACATATACATTGTTAAATAGGATCACAATATAACTGAGGATGCAATCTTTAAGGGTTCAAATTAAATTTTTCAATTCATCTGGACGTTAAGGAGCCAGTTGACTGCAGATATAGTCAAACCAATAAATTAAAGCTGTAAAGGAACTGTGGAGGAACTTATCTCTACCAGCCACAAAACACCCAACACGCCATTTCCAGAGGCGCAACTCACAGCCAAAAAAGGATCACATGATTTCAGAAGGTCTCACTTTTTCCTCCTCTAGACGATATGATGATCTTGATGATATGGAGGTCTGGTGATGGCTACATAAGATTTGTTTAGCTGAAAGGATGTTTAGACAACAACAACAACAACAACAACTCAGTTGTGGATACCAAAGGTTTGAATAAAAAAAAAAAAAGGCCTCAGACAGGCTCAACACATAAAACACCACAAAGATTCTCAAGTCAAGTGAGATAGATAGATAGAGCCCTCTCCTGTGAGACTGGCGAAAGACACCGCTATCTTACCTGTGGTTTGTCGCAGCTCTTCACACAAACTTATGTGGGGGAACTGCAGAAGCTGCTTCCATTTCTTGCTTTTTCCTTTTCTGTTCCCGCCACCTCCTGTAAAACAAACAGGTTTAAAACTTTTAAAACTTTAAAACAGTTAAGTAGGAGACTTAGGGAGGATCATGTGTCCAGCAAGAAAACTTTATAAATTAACAAAATCTGCATATTTATATCTGGACATTTTAATGTGGTAGAAGAAATAGATGCCTTTTTAGGATTTAATTTACTTTTTTTTGTGAAAAAAACTTTTCAGACACACATTGCACATTGTTCCACCCAGACTGTCCTTTGAATAAATTAACAACAACATTAATCAAAAATACTCTTTTAAAAGTTAAAGTCATAAGATGCAAAAGTTCTAAGTAGAAGTAAAAAGTACAATATTTACCTCTAAATTAGGGCTGTCATGATATCTGCAATAATAAAATACTGTGCTTCTGACAAGCCAATCGCAGGGGATGAGGTCCCCACAAGGTGAGGATTAATGTAAACAAAATGTCTTCACAAGGATAGTGGAACATGGTTGTGTGTTTGGGTGCACAGTTACTTGAGAAACTGCAGTGAACTCAAAGCGCAAACATCACTTGAGCAATCAGAACAAAGCACAAAGTCAAACCAGAGGAAGTTCCTGTCCTCTCCCCGTTAGTGCTCAGGCTGCTTTTAAAAGCTTGTGCAGCCACTGATACACTCCGCAGGTTTTATTCACCTCACTGCAATCATAAGAAAAGAGAGGAAACACAATGCTCACTGCAATCTTATGCTTCAAGTCCCTGCAAGCTGATTCATTTGCATTCTCAGGTGCGAGTATTTGCTGCTTTTCTCTTGTTTTATGTCATTGTGAACTAAATATGTATTTTGCTTTTGCACAGCTGGTGCCATTTGAAGACCTTGAACTTGTGTAACATCATTCACCCCAGAAAGATCTAATCTAAAAAATAATAATTGAGTAAATAATAGTGGTCTCATTCATCCTGCTGCATATCACTGTCTGCCAAGTGTGTTATTATATTATATTATATTATATTATATTATATTAAATTAATAATACATTCGAACCAATCAGAAACTACAATACAAAATATACTAAAATGCAGACTTTTCACTGAATTGTTTAGTAAAAATAAAAATAGATTTTTTTTAAATGCCTTTTGCGTTTTGTCCTGCCAACAGTCCAAAACCCAAAGACATTCAGTTTACATTGATATATAAAACAGAGGAAATTTGCAAATCCTCACATTAGACAGGCTGAAACCAGGAAATGTTTGGCATTCTTTGGGGGATCAACAAATACTTTTGATATCATAAATCAAAAATATATATAAAACGTGCTTTTTAACCTGAGAAACTTACAGAGACTGTGCCCATAAGTAGAGTAGTTGATTACAGTAAAATAGGTGTGCAGCTCAATCCACGCTTGTCTCTATTTTTCTGTCACTATTTGCCATTAATACACAACTAAGCCCTGATTGGTCAACTGTTTCTCTAACTGAGGGAAACAGCTATCAATGAGCGCAGCATGACCCCTGGTTGAATCGCTGAACGGACGTGAGCGGTTATTTAGGGGTTTGGAGCGAGGCTGTATGTTGCCTGAGAGGCGAAACCACAAAGCACATGCTGCTGCTCATAAAGCTGATAACTGGGAGTGCACGTTATAACTGAAGATGACTCAGTGAGTATATCAATATTTTTATTATCAACTTAAAGCTTCTCTCGTCTGGATTTCAGCAGCTGGACAGTCAATGGTCGTGTGTTAAGAGAGATTTTGGTGAGTAAATCATATTGGTAGTGTAAAATGAAGGGGGACATGCCCTCCCTAGTCCAGTGGAAATGACTTCCTTGCCTTCTGTAAACATCTTACTGGGCAGCTGTCAAAACTCATCCAGAGGCAATATCACGAAGATTAAACATGGTGATGCCATAAAATTTCTGAGGGACCGATTGCCCTTAGTAATGCTCCAGGATCAAACAGTCAGAGACACAGTGTAGAAGCTGTAGATGTATTCACTGATAACAGAGAGATGTTGTGAATACAGCCGCAGACTCACTGTGTGTTCTGACCAGGAGAAAGTCAATACAGCGCTTCAGGATTTGCTATTCAAATACTGCAGGGCAGCTGCTACTCAGACATGCCCATGTAAAAATGGATTATTGTCATAGATACAATGCAAACAAGATGTTTTGTTTGTGTCCGGGAAACAGATGATAACATCAGCCACAGAATTACCAATAAACTGATTGATAACAGAGAAAATAAGATCCCTGATGTCCGTTCTCTGCATTAGGGGAAATGTAAATGAAGACAAACAGCATTAGAATATGGCCTGTCAGTGAGACAGGAAGGCACTGAAACACTGATTCTCCACCAAATGATAAACATGCATAATTAGACTCAAAGCAGTCAAATTAGCTTTTAGTCATGGACGGAGAAATCCTCCCACACTGGCAGAGAGTAAGGAGAAGCGTTGTGACCACCAGGTGACTTCTCAGCAGTGTTCTGGAGGAAGTCCATTCAACCAACAGTCTGTGACGTGATACAGTATCTAAATACACTGAACTTCAGCCTGACATGACGCAACAGTACTGCCATACCACCTTAATAAATTGCCAATGGTGTTGGGTCTCTGTAAATAATCTTATAAGGAGTACGGTCTAGAACTGCTATAATTGAAAAGTGTCCTGAGATAACTTTTGTTATGAACTGGCGCTATACAAATACAATTGAATTGAATTGAATTAAATGTCCTTTTCCTACCTGTATGTCTAATGTTACTCCATAGAGCACATGGTGTGTATCCTCCTGAATATCAGGCTACAACTGACAATTATTTAAATTTTTCACGATTAATAAATTAGTTGTTTAGTCTGTAAAAAAAATCATGAAATAGTGAAAACTGACTATTATCATTTCTCAGAGCAAGTGATGTCTTTTTTTTTGTTTGTGAAACAACAGTTTAAAACCCAACGATATGCATTCAATACACGATTAAATATTTAACAAAATAAATTCCAATTAATTTTCTGTCGACTGACTAATTGATTAATAACTGCAGCTCTAGTTGAGAGCATGTCCTTCCTCATAAAACACATGTAAGGCAGTTGTTTTTTAACATCCAGTGCTGCAAGAATGAATCATATACCCAGAAATTAGTTCGCATTTTAGCACTTCCAGTTCCTAGTCAATGCGGGTTTTGGTTAGATGGTTGGGACAGATTAATGTAATGGGCAATTCAATACAAATTGGCTAACTGGCCATTACAATAAAGGCTTTTATTTATATTCCTTCCTTGCTGCTATTTTTTGGAGTGCCTGGATTGCCTTTTTTTTTTACTTCAGTATCTTTCAGTGAATATGCTCTCATGTGGCTCTCTGGACTGACCGTGTCCAGTGAGTGGAGGAGAGCAGCAGTCGACCAATCAGCAGGCGGACTGAAACATGAATGAGCTATGGGTGCAACAACCAATCACTGATCCCCATTGTTTGTCCGGGGGAACTGACAATGTATTTTTTAAAATCTTGCATATATATGGATTTGCATGACATAATTTTTCACTCGCTTGAACTGCTGTCAACTCAAAATAGTCACCAACACTGACCCTGGGGGGGTAGTGGTCTGAAGCTTGCACCATGTAAATGTGACAGCAGCAGTTCAAACCCAGTCTGGGTTTAAATCAATCACATGTCCTTAAATCCTACGCTGAAAGTTCTATGAATGGTATTTTTCTTTCCTGGGGCATAATAAGACACATCAGCAGATTTTTGAATGTTGGTATGTGAAACACAGTCAGGCAGTAACTCAAATGTCTTGTTTTGTCTGCTCATAAGTAAAAAAAAAATAAATAAAAAATCCAAAATATTTAGTTTACAACGATATGAAAAAGGCAAAAGCAGCTTTTTTTTTGCTTTTCTGTCCATTAGCTAATCAAGTAATGACAAATATTCACCCTATGGGGGAACTATTCTGAACTGATATCAGGAAGTTTACTATAAAACAATAAATACATGAACATTTCCCGAAGCATGCAGTAGAGTTGTGGCATTTACTATTGATCGACTGACTGATTAATCAGCTCATTTGCTGTGACGAGGTGCTGTCCACAACCTCAGCCAATATGAACTCGACGGGGTGAACCAGGGAGTGAAAACACCAACTGACTGATATCTTCAGGGACATCTTCCTGCTGTCCTCATATACTTCAAATCCAGCACATATCCTTCTTAACAAGTCCCCGACGGAGAGTCTTAATACCTCCCCCTGCCACACTCACCCCTTTTTTTGTCATGAAGTGTTTTGAGCACCTGGTCAGGACGTCTTACTGAATCATCAAGATTCAGCTCTCACCTGCAAGGTTCTTAAACAAGCTGCCCTCCTAAAAGGCTGAGTTTAAAACTACAAATGAGCACAAGTGCTTCTGAAGAACCAGAGTGAAATGAACCTGATAAACTCTACACTTCCCGCAGCTGCTTTTTAGGTTAAAAGGATTCAAGGAAAGAAAATAACTTTTATTGTGAAGTAGCCACGGGAAATCCTCAGTATTTTTAATCAAATAAGCTGTGGGGTTTTTATTCCCTGTGCCATTTCTAGATTATAAGAGGTCAGTACTATTATACAAGAGTTCAAGTGGATAAAGCTATCAAACAACAGCCAACAAGCTAACAGACAGCTCTTCATAGTCTAAAACTCTTCATGCATAAGAAAACAGCAGCGCAACAGACATGTATAAACGATGCTGGGAAAAAAAAACTACATTTCAAATATCCAGTCATTTAAAATAAGATGATGATTATTATGTTGCGTATTAGGCTGCGTTCAGGTCACATGGGGTCAAAGGTAGGTAGTCATCAGACAATGGTACGACTGAAGAGTTGTTCATCTGAGGGCAAGAATAAAGACAAAATAACGCTTTTTACCTTTAATTTGCGTTTGATTACCTTGAATGACGGACTGACATGAGGCGTCCATATTTGTTTGCATTTCCAGGTACTTCTGAACATTGTTTAGGCATTTAGCGTTTAAGTTAGAATGCAAGTTGTAACTTCTGAAAGAAGAAATGATATATGTTTCAAAACTTTCAAAACTCATAGGGGAGTTTGCAGCCAGTAACTGACAATACTGAGTGAAGTGTGGGCCACACTGCCTGCGTCTGCAGCACATATTTATGGCAGAACGCCTCCGTTTTTATTTCGGTGCCCATGTTAACAGGTTAGCGCAGCCACAATGCCCAGGAAAAACATCTGTTCATTGTCCTATTGACATTATACCAGCAGCATATACACCTTTCACACGTAACACAAAAAACATATACTGAACACCTCCTGTATCGGTTTCAGATTAAAAGCTCTCTAGCGTTTCTGTTCTTCTAGTGTTCTATTCATTTGTTAACAAGGCTTTTATTGTATTGTATTTATCAAAGGCAAACGTTTTAACAGAATTAAAAGAAAAACATCGAACTAAAGCTACAGGTTAATTGGGATTGAACTTACATTTGACAGCCAGCCTGGTGTATCCCACATGATTTAAACAAACAAGAAAAATACGTCAGGAGAAAATTACACTAATAGATGTAACCGTAGGTAATTATAGGTCGTCTCAAAACACTTTGGTGCTGTTTTCTGTCTGTCATGACGTCAGCCACATTCCTTTTATATGTACCTGACCATAAGTAGCTCAAAGGAACCGTATGAACTTATAGTGGGTATTTTTATACAGACATGCAATTGTGTAGGTTTTGTTGAAGATGAACTGTCCTCATGTCAGAGGAAGAAAAGAACCCTGAAAATATATGAATGCTGTTTCCCCATTATATATATTTATACAGACACAGCAAATCACACATTATTATATGAAACTGGTTACTGGGCTTCTCAAACCCATGCTCTGATGAAAGAAATAATAATGTCTTGTAAATTGTGGAATACACAATAGCGCTTAACAAACAGTTCCAGTTAATAGAGTTCTTAAACCCAATGATACACTTCATATTGGCATCTTTACTAAGTGCTGTCCTTTGCTGACATATCTTCGATTGATGGTTAATTTGAGCATCTTTTTTTAGGAGAATATTAACTGTAAATGAACACAGACTAATCTTGTTTTGATATCTGAAAAATGTGCAGAGGGTTTTGAGTAGTGTCTGCAGGTACAACCTCCACCAGTCACAGGCTAGGACAGTAGTCTCTGTATAGCCTGAAAAAGTCCATATATCGCCAACTCCTGCTCTTACAGCTTCATCTCTGTGAGCGCACGATAATAACTGAAGGCAACCTAACTTAACAGGTTGATCTTCTCACTGGACATTGTTTAGGTAGTGAAGAAATCAAAGTGTTTGCCTGTGCTCACATTAGTGTCCAATACTGCTGTCACACTACATGATTTTTACTCACTGAAGTTTACTCACTGTTTCCTCTCTCCCTGCCATTTGCAGCCATGGGAAGTTGCCCAATGTTGCCTGTTGTAAAGGAAAACTCCACCCTAAACTTTAACACCATCTAAAATGTCTTTGTTCCAATTCTATGCCCATTTTTTTTCTTTTTGCCTCCGTTCATAAATAACTAGCAAGTGTAAGTCTTTGTTGCTCCTGGATAAAAAAAAAAGCAAGGGCAACAATCTCAGAGGAAGAAATCCAAAGCAGAGACAGAGAGACCTTTGACTTGTTATGAAGAATAGTTAGTTGTAGTAAGTAATTTGCAGATGGCTTTTAAGCAACTTTTAGGTTTAGGTTTGAGATTACTGAGGAAATGAACTGCCATGGAAATCGGTGCTTTGGAAAATGGTCAGTGGTAATGTGAAGTATAAGCAAAGTGTAGCTAAATGAGCCATCCAGCAATTTAGTATTTTACTTTCATAAAGTTCAGGGACTCAAAAGTAGCTGTTACAAGCAATAAAACAGCCTAAAACTGGCAATGTTTTTTATTTAAATCAGGACCCTTCGAATCAAAGAATAAGAGAACAAGTTTGAAGAAGATATGAATTGGAATTTGATGCCAACTTTCAATATTAGGTGGTTTCCATTCCTCTGTATAACTGGCTTTGTCTATTTATTACATGGGTAGTACGATTTGAATTCATTTTACATAAAGTTAAATTCAAGGTTATGAACAGCAACATGTTGCTGTTAGCATTACCAATACCGTTGGCACACCACTGACATACTTTAGATTTACAGACTTTTTAGACTTTTGCCACGCTGACCCCTGAAGGAGGTAAATTCACATAGTTCCACATTAAAAAAACAAAAAACTTTTCTATTTCAGTCTCTACACTCAAATCGCTGCATACTATAGTTTCTCGAATGCAGCGTACAGTAATACTTTCATTTGACCAATGCTACATCCTAAATCCCCACTTCCCTCAACCCCGCCACCCCACCGGTGTGTGGCAAGCTTTCAAATTTTCAACCCTAAGCCAAGATAAACTTGATGGCACACAGTAATCAAACTTTGGAAAGCTGTAAAATCCGAGGAGCCTGTCTTTAAAAGGCTTAAAGATACAGAAAAAATACGTACAGTCCTTTAAACTGAATGCAGTTACCTCATCCTGTGAAGACTTGTGCTGGGTGTGTTGACAGCGAATGAGCAGTGAACTTATCTGCCTCATCAGGATGTGTAAATCTCTTCGCATTGACTTCCTTCAAACCTATATAATTATCTTATATTATCAAGCGTGTCTTTTTATAGCTGAATCGCACAGTCTGTCCAACACATATGATAATGGTGATGATGATAAAAACACCTTTTGCTCCCCGTGATAAAAGAACATCTAGTCTCCGGAGAGGTCAGAGGTCAGGGAGATACGGTGCCTTGCTCTGCCCAGATGAAGGGCACTTCAGCTGGGCGGATGGGGTGCCAACACAGAGTCCTGGTCCTCTCCAAGCACAACAGATAAGCTGAATTGAGCAGATAAGCTCACAGTGAGGGATCATGACACTCATCTTCTCCTGTCCCTCTGCAGATGGCATCAGGATTATGTTGGCAACAGTCACCAAACCTTTGTTTCCTGTTTAGAATAACAATAACAGAGGGCTCTCTGGTGGTGTTTTCGATTGTTCACAACGAGATGTCGGTGTACAGTTTACACCGTAACTACCCAGGAGTGTTATCATGCCACAGGACAGACTGCAGTGTTTGAAACATGTATTTATCCTACATTTGCATTTGATGCCTTTAGCTGAACCTGGGGTGACTTAAGAGATCTTAGGAGGCCCTCATATGTATTTAAAACATTACTCATTTTAACATGAAACCTAAAACTCAAAATGACCAGACATTCAAATTCTGTGCACAAAGTAGGCTACAAACCTCAGGACAGCACAGCAGCTGTGCCTCAACATCCTGTTTCGCAAACGTCAGGACGATGCTGCAACATCAGCAAGGGAAACCCGATGTGTCGCTGCACTCACATTTCACAGTTGCAACCCCTTCCGGACCTCTCATACTTCGCCTTCCATGTACAGAATAAGAGCCGTGCCAAACTTGTGTTAAGAATCTGGGCAATTTTTACGCGTCCGCTGTGTCGGTTTAGTTTAAGCAACGTACACAATACTGACAGCGTTTTACAAGTCTATGGGACCCACTATTCAATTCGGCACACGCCAATACACAGTGTTTCATTTCAACGAATACTCAGTTAGATCTTGCTTGGCATCCCCGCTGTCTTTTACCAAGCCCCGCTGTGAATGTGGTTACCGTGTTACAACGGTGTTATTGACAGTTTCATAGCGAGCACCGTCAACAAGGAAGGCAAAGATTTTATCAGAAAAAAGCGATGTACTCAAACAATTTCCACGCCGAATTGGCCACTGTTTGCCAAGAAGTTGGCCACGGTCTTCAGCCAGGTTAAAGCACGCATGTACGATGAAGGATAAGCCGGAAAACTTTAAATGGCTAACATTGTAAACGGACTTCGGCACGTCGCTCTATCAACTCGAGAGAACGGCGCGTATTTTAGGTAACATCCTGTTCGTATTGAACCGGCATCATCAAAAGATTTTGATTACCGGCCAAGAGGAAGTGCAGTAACAGTATATATCAACCCATGTCCGGGGGGGCATCCCTCCAGCCGTCGGACCGCTGCTCTACCGGGTGAGAGGAGCTGTCAACCCGCCTTCTCCATCCTTACCTTCCCGTGCTTTCAGCAGCACCGTGTTGGCTACGATGTTCTCCAGCTCCATGTTGATGCTGTCTGGGGGGTTACGCAGCAGCAGCAGCAGCGGCAGCAGCAGCAGCAGCAGACGGGGCTCCCGGTGCCCCACGGCGGCTTCAATCTCAGTTTATCCTCCTTTAAACACCGTCCACCACCTCCTCCCACCGCCCAGCCGAGGAGGAAAAATTCAACTCCTCCGTTTCTGCTTTGGCACAGTCCCTGTCCGGTAACAGTCCGCACCCCTCCTCTCCCCTAATCTCCTCCTCCTCCCTCAGTCTCTCCGCCCTAAAAAAAAAAAAAAAGCGGCTGTCAAAGAGGAGGAAGAGACACAGACTTCTCACTCTGCTAAAAAAACACCTAACATGATATCACAGACAGACCTCTCACTCTGCTCATACTTCCCGCCTCCTTTTCTTTTGTTGCTTAAAGTTAACACCTAACGTTAATACAAGGTAAATGAGTATGTTCTCTGGTAACTTAGCAGCCTAATTATCATCAGTTAGGTGTTTTTACTTGAAATTAAATTGTTAGTATTCAAAATCTACAGCTCTGTTTTGGATCATGGGAAGCTATGGCTAACTGTAGCTGCGGAACATATTAAATAAAATAAAAAATAAATAAAATAACTCTGTTAAAAGACTCAGGTAATATTATAAGATATTGAACAGAAACCTGCTAGGTTTTTAATAAAATAATCTTAATTCAAGGTCAACTTTCTGGCCTTTTCTGGGACTTTTAGCTGAGATAATAGTGAAATGCAGTTGAAAGCTCCTGAAAAAGCTATAGTAAGTTGATTTTAAATGTACTTTATTAAGTTACATTTATTTCGTCAAACCCCCGCTTTCATGTTTCAGAATTATGTCAAATCTGGCTTCATGTTTGCGTCATTGTTGAAGTTGTTTATCTATTTATTTGAGTTAAAAAGAGAGTTGTCCTTCCAGCTTTTATTTCCTAAAATGTAGTTTTTAACGTAAATCAGCTCTATTTGTACAGCTGCCATTTGACGTGTCACCCTCACCTGCACTGTTGTACTCCATCAGTATAAGCTACTACTCCTCAGTTGCCTAGCAACTTCCACCTGCCATTTTTGTTATAGTATTTAGATTTTTATTTTTATTTTTTAAAGCAAAGTAATAAATCTTTTAATGTGAATACAGTCATAGCAAGAGCGCTACTGTCTAGATTTGTGTGGTATTTTGATCATTACCATGATATGACGCATTATGATTCCTGCTGTGCATGTGCTCAATATGTCCAGATACATCTGTTTATCAATTATAATAATGTAATAATGTTTCACATGTTTCCTGAGCTTGATGTTTGAACAGTTCCCAAGATGTTCCACAGTTTTGAGGCTGCTAGTAAACACTTTACTTGTTGTCTTGTTTGATTTACTACTTCACAATAACTAATTAATCAACTGCTAATAACCTAGCCACTAAAAACAGTCCCACCCACTCCATTTGTATTTCACAATGACATAGGTCACAACTATTTTAAATCAGTGCAACATGAATGAAATCCAATTCCTCTTCGGCGGCCAAAAAAAGGCTTCAGTGTCCCTGGATGTATCAGTCAGAACTGATGCACTGTTACGAATGCAGAAATCAATAGATTACTGACTCCAAAAGCTGCTGCTCTTTGTGGCTCATCTCCCATTCTGCACAAAGTGGATTTCCCTGCACAGATCAATGAAAGCGCCACGGTGCATTATAGGTGCATTAAGAAGGACTTTCACTGTTTTGCCATGCCGAGTGACGACAGCAGATCATATCAGCCAGAGGGGTTGATAGAGCTATTGATCATCATCTGTCACTCGGGGATTTCTTCTCCTGGAAACTCGCTCTCTGTGCCAAACTTCCACTTGGAGCCATCCTCCTGCCCCCAGAGTCTGCAGTTGCTCATTGATGACCTGAACTCAGAGCTACAAAGGCTAAAAGGCCTCTTACCCATACCAGGAGGAAGGAAAACAACTGGGAACAGTCTATGTTACCAGTTCCTTGTCATATTTGAATCCTTCGTGGCTGCTGGTTTTTAAAAAAACATTTACAAATTATTACAAATTATTATTATTATAAATAGTAGTAGTAGTAGTGTTGTGTTAATTTCAACATGTTTCAATGTGCAATTCACTTGATTATTATGTCATTCTTTTGTAATTATCTTATAACTTCTGCAACAACAATCTTAAAACTCATTTACTATTAGTTAATTTCTGTCAGCAATACTGTGGAATATGTTTACATTTCCTTGTATATAGGCTCTTATTATCTTATTATATCTCTTAGGCTCTTATTATATGTCTATTTCTATTTTTATTTTTATTATATGAATATACCTATACATTCATTTCTATTCTATATTTTGTGTTAGATCTTGTATATAAGTACTATTTCTTTAACGTTGTGTGAGTAGAACAACTGTAACAAACTGTAATTTTCCCACAGGGATCAGTTAAGTATTACTGATTCTGATTATGTAAACAGTATGACCATTAAAGGATTCTGTGAGAACGTGACTTTCTCAAGATATTCTCTATGCCAAGGCACTTTTAAAAGTCTTCTCCGGGAGCAACTAATTAAGATTTATACCAGTCTAAAATATATAACAATAAAAGTAGACAAATAGGGATGAAATAATAAGAAACTTGCTAAAATGTAAACAAGAAGAAGACTAGACGGAGAAAATGTTGATGTACATCAAAGAAAAGATACAATAAGGAAATTTAGTACCAAAAGACAATTTATTGTGCAGACAAAGCAACAATAGAGAAGGACCAGGCTTCAGGTACGAGCATTTCTAGCCACATTTTTATAATCTGATAGATTTGGTTCCCTGCTGTTTATTTGACCCTGCTGTCATTCTGAATAAAACACGTCAACAGTATTTGTATTTGATTGGCAACTTTTTGACCTGGACTGACACCTAGAGGCGGGAAAGATAAAGGAACTCACATTGCCAGGGTTTCACATGTTTTTTTAAGTTGTGTGTTCTCCTCATTAATGTATTGTAGACAAACTGTTCTTCAGCATTTAAACTCAGTATTCTTTTTAGAAATAAAGTAAAATACAGTTGAAGGTGCATTACCATTACCAAGGTGCATTATCAAAACAGGTGAATAAAAGTAACTGTGGAGTACAAAATAAATAATATAAAATTTAATTCAATAAAAGGAATGACTTGAGAGTTAGAGCAGTTTTCTGGGAGTTTGGAGGAATGAGAGCAGCTTCTCCATGTGTGATTTAATCCCTGGGGACAGTAAATAAACCATGAAAAATGTGCATCAGCAGCAGTTTGGTATATAATAATAGGCTATAATAATAATAATAATAATAATAATAATAATAATGTATATTGACCCTCAACCTTTTAGCCAAGATATGGTTGAAATCTCCAAAATATTTCCAGTAAGTGCCTTACTAAGCTAAGAATTACAGTTTCAGTGAAGTTTCAGTACACGTTTGATGCTGTACATTAGGACTGCAACTAAAACTTTTTCCCCAAAAGATCAATTAGTCTGCCAACTATTTTCGCTATTGTCCATAAAATAATGAGAAAATAGTAAATATTTGCAACCATACCCAAGTAAACATATTGACCGAATGTCTTACTTACATAATTTTTTATATATTCTTTGGCTTACTATTTTTTATTTAATCAGTTTTTAAGATAAGATAAGATAAGATATTCTTCTATTTGTCCCACAATGGGGAAATCCCAATGTTACAGCAGCAAAGTGGATAGAGAAAGTATAAAAACAGTAAGATATAGATAAGGTATAATATTGATTACATTAATGCACCCACGTTCTTCTGCACAGCTTTCTCTTCTTATCTTTCTTATCTTTATCTATTTATATTTTGAAAGTACTTTATTTTTCTGTGTGATTTTTG